TCCCAGTCCAAAGGCAGGTGCTGCTTGAGTGCCCGTGGTCTTGAAAGCAGAGAGCTGAAAAAATTCCAGATACATATATGGAAACTGATTCCAAAACAGGGAACTCTCTTTCTGTAATTATTTGAAACAAAAATAGAGCTGCCCAGTCCTATTGAATCACATTCAGACTATGCTGGACAGTCATCACTCCTCACAAATTGCATGCTCTGGCAATTATAAAYGAAGCGCCCTAAGGCAATACACACTCCAGAAATGCTAATCTGGTACAATTGATAAATTTTTGCCTGCCAGTCAATGACCTGATCACCTGTGGGAGCTCTCTTTCTCACCTTTTACTATTTCAGGTTGTGCTCTGTGACTCAGGGCACAGCTTTGACTCACTCTGTTCTCTGTCCTCAGCACATCCCATCTCCTGGGCTAAAGCCCAAATCCTGCTTGTGCACCTCCAGCATTGAACAGACCAAGGGATGGGATCACATGACTCAACCTTTAATGCACTTCATGCAGATTCCACTCAATAAAGCCACTTCCTCTGTCTCCCTRATTATTTCATATTGCCTTTAACTCAAGCATTTGCTTATGAAAAACCACCTCCTTTCACAAGTGTTTGCCACCTTCTCAGGACCAATGACTCTTTCTACCTTCAAATGTTATCCAGAGGGTTTCTCTCCCACCTCTCTCTCAATTCTGGCATTACCCAGATGCTCCATTTATTCTAAAATGGCCTGGAGAGCAGCCCTGGTCTGGCCTGCTGATTCTCTCTTGGAAGAGTCAATATCAGCACATGGGAAAAAAGCTGTGGTGGGGATTGGTCACTTCCTCATCATGTACATGACCAATCCCAAATTTCAGCTCTGGTTACTTTCATGTGGCTTGCAATGAGAATATTCCAAAGCTGGGATCCAGCTGCTGCCTTGCTAACACGGAACCATCCCTACACCCATTTTTCCTCAGTTAACTGAAGGGGTTTATAATACCCACCTGTAATTCACCCATTTGAGGACTCCAGACAATATGCCCAGGTGGCACATCACAAATGCCAGATCTTAGAAGTCTTTGTAATTGTAATTAACATCTGTGTAAATTATTAATTAAAAAATKACAKCAGGCACAGAGACATGTTGCTATTTCTTAATACTCACCAAAGCTGCTTTTGTTGATGCATTTAAAGCTTTCAACTGAAGCAGTCCAATTTTCTCATTGTTGCACTAACTGKTCAACAGCATGTATCTAAAAAAAGAGAGAGAGAAAAAAGTGTATTTCTGTTATTAGGGTAGGCTTTAGCAAAAAGAAAAAAAAATGAAAAAAGAAAAAAAGGAAGATTGGTCTGTCAACTGTACCAAAAGATGATATTTAGAATTAGAAAAGAAGCTTCACTAAATTAACAGAAGAATTTTGATTTCCTTCCACTTTAAGGTAAAAAGATGAAATTTTTGTTATTAAAAGAAGATTCCTTGAAATACTCTTGCTATTGCCCTTACATCAAGTTTTTACATCTTTACATAAAGAACGATATCAGATTGGACATTTTGAGCCCAAGATCTTAGCAAAAACAGGATGTTATTGTAGCCCATGTAGACCAGCAGCTATTTTGGCATTCACTTTGRTGCACAGGAATTGAAGGATATTTTAGCATTCTGATTATCTCCTAGAGCTGGGAGACAAATAAGTCGAATAACCACCTGAAGAACTGTAACAAGTCTTATCTCAAATATTGTCCCCATCACTCAGCATTTTTAAACTACTTACACATTTCCCATTTATACTGTTTGCTGTCATACTACTCCAGATGCAGCTCTTCTGAAGAGACATCTGAAAATCCTGCAAGGACAGGAATAAAAAACCTCAAAGGAAACATATTTATACCTCCAACCGCCCTCCATAGTTACAATGTAATGGGTCTTGGTACATTCTCCTAAAACAGTTAGAGTTGGGAGACACAAAGCATTTATTACAGAACTTCAGAGGTGTAAACGCCTCAAATGAATTGGCAAAACCCGGCTCTCCTTGAGCAAGGACAAAGACAAGCAACTCCCCGGCTAGTCCCTCCCTTCCCAAAGCTCCCGAACACCCAGAACCGCTGAGAATGGAAACAGGCTTCATCGGGTGACACGCAGCTGCTTGCACGCTGCTCCTGGCAGGAAGATTCCCGAACTGTTTCCCACGGCCGCGTGGCCCATCCCGCAGAACCTCGGCCTGAGCACAGCGCTGTGAGTGCCGAACCAGAGGCTGCTGCGGACAGCCCCGGCCGACACCCGCCCGGCCAGCTCTGCTCCGGAGCTCCTGCSGGCAGCGSCAGCGTCCGGGCTGGGTGAAGGGGGCACCAGGGACCCCCTGCAGCCCCGCGCCCAGCCCGCCCGCCCCGCCKCGCTCGGGGCACCGCGGGCAGGGGTGCGGGTGCCCGGGCTGCGGGGATCCCGCTCCAGCGCCCGTCCCCGAGGCGGCCGCAGCCCCGCAGGAGCCGAAGGACGAGCGCGYCCGCCCCGCGCCGCCGCTCAACCCCGCACTGCCGCCACCCAGGCGTGCCGGGGGCCGCGGACTATGCACCCGTGGGAACAACGGGGATGCAAAACAGGTAAAAGAGCGTGTCCCATCTAAAATTGCACACAATTCCCTCAAAGATTCCAGTAGTTCAGAATCAAAGAGTGGAGACAGCAGGGACACATTTCGTGGCTAGAAGGGAAAAAGCAAGGGAGAACAGAAAAAAGTCACACCCTTTTCACTTACTGCTGAATAAAGAACGGAGTTGCAGGAACCACAATAGAAGCCGTGAGTGCATCTAGTCCTGTCTGTACAAGCAGAGTTGTCAGGGTGAGGAAAGAAACGAGGAGCGAGTCTACAAAGAAGCACTGACTTTGAAAACCAGGATTTACACTCCTTARGAGAATTTGGAGGAATTTCACAACTAAAACAGACTAAACATTCACAGCACCAGCGAGGTAGAGGTAGGCAAGCACCAACTTTTGAAGTTAACTCAGTAGTCTCATAGAAACAGACCTGAAAAAACCAGCAAGTTAGGAGAGGTAACAAAACTACGATGAAGCTGTGAATAAACTAGCACGGGAGGAGGACAGACATCATTCATATAGTTTTCCAGAACTGGGAAGAAGCACAAAATGTCGATGACACCCAGAGCTTGAGCGGCTGGACTTGGAGGCTGGATGAAGAAATTTATTATCTTGTAGGCTGGAAGCATTTATAGAATTCTGTGCTTCTAAACCAGAGATGAATAACCATGCGCAACTTCTGAAGACTTCTGTAAAGTATCTTTAATGACTTGGTTCATGCCATTTTAAAAACAGTCATTTTCAAGACGAAATTCAATATATCTGTTGTATTGACTTTGCTTTTCTCATTCCTGTTCCCATCTTTGTCAATGGTTTGGCATCTACAGTATGTACAGTCTGATGCCAAGGAAGATTGAAAATTCTTGCCAAGTTTCCAACTTGCTAATTATAGTGCACATTTCTTGTCAACTTCCCCACCATCCCTACCTCAGTGTAATTAAAAAAAAAATCAGAAAGTCTTTCTGTGAAASCTCCACAAAATGCCAAAGAGACCATCAAAGTGTTTCTCTAATCTCTATGTATAGCCTCCCAGACCTTAAAAAATTGATAAGCAGTCATGCAAACGATGGAAGCAACTCACTGGAAGAGGGCAGCTATCATGACCTAGAGAGCTGTAGAAACACTGGAAATCTTTATTAGACAGCAGATCTTGGTCTTTCCTGAGAAAGTATCTTCATTTCATCCTAGTGAGATTTCTGAAGGCAGGTATGAAGGAGAAAAAATTGTTGTTCCTCTTTCTCACAAGGCAAGCTGTATTTACTCACCTTCATTAAATTAAGTGTCTCTGCACCTGATCTTGGTAAAATGTTATTTAAGTAGAAATCTTTTCTTCATCAAATGCTTTGGAGGCATTCTAAATGTTTGGATTTGGTCTCTATTTGACAAGGCCACAACCACAGTCCTTTTGAAGGAAGATGACATGTGATATCACCTTGGTAAGTGGATTCTCAAAACCCCATCTCTTTTAAACAGACAAGAAACTGGGCATGAAAAAAATCCACATTATACAATATGCTGTATATACAAATTGAAGACTGCATCTCATTTTTTTCCTATTATTAAATTTAACATGATTCAGTAAAACATGGAAGCAAAGCACCAATAACCATGTTTTCMCAAGTCCTTGAAGAACGCCTTGGCATCTTCCACAGGTCTTCAGATCTCTAGAGTTTCTTCATTTGCCCCACAAGTGTCTACAACACAGATTAAACAACTTGTCACTGGGAAAGCGCGGACTTTGGAGTTGGCTATCCACTTGTCTGTTTCAGTGTTATATTCAAGAATGTGCCCTAAGCGACCAACACCCTGAAAACCAGCCAGGACATAGACTATAGATCCCACAGCAGCACACTTGACTGTTACACCCTTCCATGGCATTGGAGACACCATCTTCCATTCATTCATCTTGATATCGTAATATTCTACATTATCAAGGCCACCTACAAAACAATGAGATACATAACTGCTTATTATGTTGTATGGACTGAACTAGAGCATGCAAACCCAAGTCTTTATTTTCAAGGTTTTAAAAATGCTACATTAAAGAAAAGCAAACCTGAAAATACACCCTTTCTAAACTAGCAATTTATCCTTGTATAAATACAAAACCAGAGAGAAGTAAAAAGGAGATAGAAAGTGAGATGTATTCTAACAAATTCACACTAGATGCTTTCTAGAGATTCCAACATGTTACTTCATGAACAGAAGAATTACAATACTGAATTTCAGATGGATTTGTGGTTAGTGACTACAACTGAGGAATTACCTGAAACTTCCCCATAGTAAGGGCATTTCATTCTAGAGGGCTCACAGGTACCTTTACTAAAACTGGTATTTACTGATAGAGGAGGTCTCTCTCCATGATGATACTAAAATCATTCAAATGTAAAAGGCTAAGTCCCTTTGAAAAAGGCCAAAAGAACCAAAAGTTATTAGAGAAGAGTAGATTTTGTGACTAATATCTGCTTCTTCAGGAAATATGCTAGTAATTACACTTAATAGTTGCAAACATCCTGCTGTCCCTATTTGACTCAGTTTTCACTTTGAGTCCTGAATTATTAGATCTGAGAGATTAAGGAATTTCTCTCTTCCTCATTTTATTCGACTAAGAAYAACTCTTAACACTTCTGAGAAAAGCACTTGGTGAATACACTTACATTTTGCAAGATGGCAGATTATAGATTAATAAAATGTTCGTGCAATAAATGTATCTATTATTTTTGCATTAGGAATCAATCACAATGGAGTAGTTTTAGTAGCCAGTTAAAAATCAAGCTATATTCTAGCATTTATCTGAAATCAAGTATTCCACTTRCCACAAACAGTGACTAAAAAACCTCATAAATGAGAATTTTCCATTTTGAAAATCTCACTTTGAAAAGCACTTCAGAAACGCTGTCCAATTAAAATTCAATTCTTGTTGTGAAGTACTATTATTCTAGTTTCAAAGGCCAGGAGATAGACAGATCATAATTGACCTGCCCAGAACAGTAAATCAGATTTCAAAGCTAGAACAGTCAAAAGAGGTCTCACATTTTCACCATTTTACAATACCAGACTAGCTTTAAGTCTTTAGACTAAAGTTCCTAAAATAGTGGCTACACCTTTATCTGTCTCTCAAAAGAGCGCTAAAATCTCTCAAAACACATGCATAACTAAAAAAACCCAAAAAACTAATTTCTCACATGCCTGGTTTAGCCATATTTACTGCTTCAGAACTGGCTTACATTAGGGGTAYATATTTGAACTTGACAATACTGTCAGTAGTATACAAGAACTTGAAAAATAAGATACTAGTGAAGTGGGGAGGTGAAAGGAAGAAGGCAGCACTGATGTGACAACAGGATATGTTTGATGGTGCTCCTCAAGGCTTTTCAGTGGAACAGACTAGAATGAATTCACTCCAAAAGAGAAAAACGTCCCATGAAACATTGTGTGACCAGCTAGAGAATTAAYAGAATTAAAGTACCTAAACTGTTTTGTCCACCCACAGCAAATATTTTGTCCTTTACAAACACCAGCCCATGATTCTTCCTGGCTTCAATCATCGGACACAGCTCAGTCCACCTGGGGAAAATAAGGCAAACAGAAAAGAACAAATCACCATCTAGTTTGTAGAAAATAAGTATAACATAAAAATGAAACCTATCATTAGGAAAATAAAATATGGAAGAAAGCTGCTTAAGAAAAACCATCTTTCATGTAGAACTACAAATAACTGATTCCTTACTGCTGACTGAGGAAAAATTCCTTACCACAGTTTTTTCTGTATTCAGTCAGATYTCCCTTACATTTCAGTTATTTACAGAGTTAGCAAAGACACAAGTGACTAAAAACAACCTGACTTAGAACAACACTTACGTTTCTGTGGCTGGATCATAAACTTCACAGGAATTCAGGACTCTTCCAGAAACATTGTTTCCCAGGCTCCCTCCGCATACATAAATGAGCCCATTCGCCTCCACCATTCCATGGCTGCATCGCTGAGTCAGCATGCTGGGCTTTGTGTGCCAGCTCTCTGTTCTCGTGTCATAGCATTCAAATAAATACAGTGCAGAATTGCCTTAAAAAAATAGAAACCCACCAAAGTGGTATTAATCTTTAGGGTTGTCTTTCAACAGAAGAGTCTAACAGCAATTATTAAATTGATGCTTTCTTTGTTAGCGGAAAAGGGAAAGCTGCTTTCCCACCTCCAAAAGTAGAGCTAACCATTTTGGGATTGTTCTGAAAGCACATACTTGTAATTATTTTGACTCTTTTGTTCCAAGATATGCAAGTAAGTTTATAAAGTTGCTATTTGTGTTTAAAAACAACAAGAATTTTTTTTTCTTGGAGGGGATTAAATGCTAAACAGAGATGTATATAAATTACCCATTCCATTATCATCAGCTCATGCTACTCTTACTACTTGGAAATGTATTTTCAGATGTGAAGATGAAACCAGCTTTGCAAACTTACTACAGGTTCATGAGTCTTTCCTCTAAGCAATGGGACTTGCCCAATACCCAGAATACTTATTGTTTTTGGAATTTGATAGCTTATGTCATAACATATTTCTGAATTATTAGCAACCACAAAACAGCTACCTCTCCCCAATTTACTTCTTCCTGAGGACTGGTACATACTTATTTCCTGGAGGTGCARGGCCTGTGTACTCTTCCCACAAGGACCAATAAAACTATTACCGAAATTAAAATCAATTTTTTTTTTAATGAAGATAGGTGGGAGCTCAAGGACTTGTGCTCAGATAAATGACTGAATCATAGCCAAGGCAAAGAAGGCTGAATACAACTTTCTCAGTACAGAACCTGATCCTTCTTCCCTTTGTTTCAAAAGATATATTCACCTAGAACAGTTAAAGGTGCCTTTCGTGTGCCTCTTTATCCTTGGCTTTCTACTTCTAAAATTTAAGTATGTCACACTAGCAGCACTCTGAGGATATGAACCTTCAAAACAATGCTGTTTCCAGACCCAAAATGCCAGAAACTGACTTCTATAAAGTGTGTGTTTGTTCACTCCTACCCTGTCATTCTCAATAGCACCAGAAATTGTACAGGGGGACATTTTTTCTTTGATGCAAAGAGACATTCTTTTTGAAGTTGTAGAAATTCCCATCCATAGAAAATACAGCAGACCCATCTTTAATGTTTTTAAACAGGTAGAAGCTTCCATTTTCAGTATAATGGTAAGTATTTTTCCACTCTTATTTTGGTGCAGGAAGAAGCTGGTATGCTCAGCTTCCAAACTCTGCTASTTATTGCAAATAAGACAGGAGTCCCATAAATTCAAGAAGGGGAAATGAGCTGTGTTTTCTGTAATGGACTGGCACAGTAACCCAACCTCTTCGACCAACAGAAAAAACATGTCATTTTTAGATTTCTTTACAGCTCAACACACTGCAGCATTTAATCAGATTAATGCTTTCAACATAATTGCCTGCTTCAAATTTTCAAATTAGAAAATACTAGATTCACGAGAGACAGACTTTTCCAAACTTTCAKTGTCACTGAATTCTAAAAAACAAATACAGGCAAAATAAACTCCATTATTAATTTTYAGCTTTTACTATACTGTCTTGAATAACGTTTATGGAAAAAAGTGAAACTGTGCAGTAATGTGAGGGTGTATTTCTAAGAAAACTGCTAAATWAAAATTTCCATTATAGTTGTGTTAACTATTTATCATGCATTAGAAAATATACTTTATAATCATAATTTCCTATCGTTATTCCCCATGAACTGAAGCACGTGAAACTAGGAAGATTTATGAGATGTKGTAGTGTTCCAAGTTTCCCAATGTGGGAAAGTATTTAGCCTATTTCAAGTAATGGGAAAGGTGCTATTTCACATTTACCACACGAGGTGGCGGAGGGGAACTGTTTATTCTGTTGCTACATTAAACCTCTTAAAATATTTTAGAGATCAGATAACAGGGCCTAAATGTTAYGACCTCCCATTAAGTGACTTATCAATGTTAAACACCAATCATGACCAATCTGTTCACCTCCCTCTGCAGCAAGGCAGACCTCAAAAGGTTCTTCCTTCTAGGATTTATTTTTCCTTTAATTTTTATTCCCCAGAACACAGCTTTTTTAGCATAGCTATTTTTATGGCTACAGTATGCCTACATTCCAGCTTTTGGGTTGTTGATGATATATCAGGTTTAGGCAAAATAAAATGTTCCTGTAACACCACAGCGTAAGTCATCTTCCAGGGTTTTTTTTGGAGAGAGAAAAAAATCCCAATGGCCTTTCATTTTTTTCTTTACTRTGTTGAATAGTAACATCTAAGGGAAGTATCATTTCTCCATTTGTGGAAGCAAACCAACAGGATAACAAAATAACAGAAGATAATTTCTGTCATTTGATAGAAAAATTGGAAAAATTCTTTTACAGGACCCAGTGCAATTTCACCACCAAAAGCAGTAGTTGTAGAGATTTCCACTTTTTTCCCCCCGCCTGTAAAAGACCTCATTAGGCCCAACACATGCTGTATAAAATGAAGGCAGTTGTCAAAATGCAGCTAAGGTCACACATTGCATAAAATTTTAACCCACACTGAATTCTGTGCATTTACAGAAGTAAGATAAGAGTGGGACTCCCAAAATATATTTAATTGAATCACACAATCATAGAATGATTTGGGTCAGAAGGGACTTTAAAGATCAGTTATTTCCACCCATATGCCATGGGCAGGGACACCTTCCACACTTGATCAGGTTGCTCAGAGCTCCATCTAACCTGGTCTTGTCCCTGTTTAACTCTTAAGAGCTGCAGTGTACTTTACACGCTAGTTAATGCAAATATGAATAATTTCAATCAGTGAAACCATTTTAAAAACACAACAGAAATAGGTTGTTGGATTGGGCAAGGGGGATAAAATTCTAAATATGGGAAAATAAACTCATTAGGCTAACATGGCAACGTGCAGTTTCTTGTCAACAAAATCATGCAAAAACCAGAAAAACTTCCAGCYATCTTTCTTTGTGCTTTTTTGTTTGTTTTAAAGATTTTTAGTGTCTTACCCACTTCTGAACCACCAGATGTATAAATTTTGCCCTCAGCAGCACAGGCTGCAAGGCTATCTCGAGGTGTTGGAGGTCCTAGCTTGGAATACCAGCTATCCTTCACCACATTGTAGCAGTCCATTCGCTTTATAGGGAAGAGCTGGGAACCACCCAAAATATAAACTACGTTGTCCCAGAAGACACAAGCTGCATCCCTGCGCTTTTCAAAGGGACATCGGATGTCTGTCCAGCTGTAATCCTGCATTACAAAGAACAAGTAATGTCTAATAGATTATAACACTTACCTGCACAGCGAGTGTTTTTCAAACAGAGATTTTCATAGAGATTTAGATATGGTCAGTTTTAAGTTCCTTTTCAAAACAAACATGAACATTTTTATTGAAGAATACTTCTCAGGYGTACTCTCGAAAAATTCTCTTAGACACAGACATAGTTAGCTGCAATGAATCATGCCATTATGAATATCTATTTCCTCATTCCCTGTGTGCACCCAGTACAGCTTCCCTGAAAAACAGTTCTGGTGTTTATTCCAACAGAATTGACCTCCTGCTGCWATCATGTTAGAAACAATGCATATAATCAATAAAGTAGGATTGCATTTTCTTTTATAGCAATGGAAAAAGACATCTTACATATAGTAAAAGAGTTTTTGTAAAAAATAATAAAATACAGAAAGYACCAAATGAAGACAATGGAAAAAGGAGAAGATAATATCCAAATTGACAAGCAACTCAGTAAAAAAGCTCTGATACATACTTTATTACCATGACAACTAGAAGCTTATTTACAGAATTTACAAAACACGAATRTTCTATAGCTATCCACAGCCGATAGCATGAGAAATACGGTAATGCTCCATCACAAATAYTGGCAGTCATGTTGCCTAGAAACTGATTTTGCATAGATTGGCAAAATCAGCAAGTATCAAATATGAGCAGTAATKCCCAAAGCCTTAAAAACACCAAACTCAACAACTGATGGCAGACCAGGATAGCATACAGCACAAGAAACACTTCTTGAGTAATAGCATCTCACATATTCCATGAGCATAGCTTGCATCCTATACTGAACAGGAAAGTATGGGACTTTAACTGTGCCACCTCAAGAAGGTCTACCTCAACCTGCTGAATGACCTTCACTGTAATGGTTCACACAAGACGTTACATCAGTACATTTTCTTAGCAAGGACATACTTCAAACACCTTGGTCAATGAGGAAGAACAGCGACTCCTACATGGGGGTTCAAAGAAAGAGAGGCAGAGCATGTTATAGTCCAGAATATCTTACAATCTTTTCTTGTAGCATCCCCCATATCAAGAAGAGCTGTCAGCTGCATGTGGCCCTTTATGGTGAGAAACAGGTCCTGGGGCATCCTAGAAAGGAAAGCCATACTACAGCATGGCAAAATAAATAGCTGCATAAATCTTAAGAAAATGTCTCAGTGCATTGTGTAAGATCAACATACTTTCTAGCTCAACTTCTGTCAATTTTACAAAGTATCCTCTTGTTTTCCTTTATTGTGATAAAGGGCTGTGACCTGACCCACTTTGATGGCTTCAGTTCATGTATCCATTTCATCCATACCTTTATCAAATGAAAAGCCATAACTTGAGTATACTCAGCAGTATCCTCCTCTTTCAGCAGGAGGCAATTTAGGCCATCCTCTTGCAATGCTCTTCGATGTTAGTCTGTACTACACAGAATTTATATCAGTTTTTGAACTTAACACATTTAGGAATCATGCAGAAGTGTTGCTTTATACCACAGTCAAGAACCACATGGCCCTGGGCAATGGAAGTCTCAATTTTGGGGGACTGAGTAGGGAAAGATGGACCAAGATAAGTATTTGGTGACTCTTTACCTGCTGATCTCTGTTTCCATCAAAATGCAACGTAGGACACTAGAGGCAAAAGCTATACCTTTCTCTCTTTCATCAATTTATTGAATCATTTATTAAAAGTATCTGAACTCTTGCAAGCCTCAAGATCCTGTGACAAGAATGGCACACRCAATTATGGGCTCTGTGGAAAAACACCTTTTTTGTTTAAGTCTTTCCCTCATTTTCAGTWGATTCCTCTTCCAAGTTTGTCATGAAAACCAGCAGACATGCCCACTGTGGACATCTTCCCCACTAACAGCTTATTGACTACAGTTCTATCTCCTCATGAAAGGTGTRCTGGTTCCCTTAATCATCAAGAAATAGCATTGCCAGGCATCTGCTACTTTTTATTTGCCTTTGTTGAATTTTGCACTGCTGAGAATTTAAAACTTCCAATCATCTCCGGCCACTAAAGATAGCAATTTCAAAAGAATAAGCATACTGCTGACACAAAATCTCAATCATGTGTAAATTCTGTATTGAGAATTCATAAAACAAAACAGTAAGTATTTTATTTCCCACCTGGGGAAAAGAAGTATTTTTTTTTAATATTATGTGGAAAATTCAACAAGAAAATGCTTCCCACAACTGCTAACAGAACATCTAGGATTTCTAGCAGTATTCTGAAATCACGTATGTCTACTCAAATTAGTGCCAGACTGCTCCACAAGTGTTATGCCTGCCTGCATCTCCCCCATTGCATCATTTTGCTCTCTTGATGAAGTACATGCATCAATAGAAATACCAGTTACAGTGCAACAACGGAAGCAAATATAGTCTTAAAGTAATACTGCTAACAGTCTCAACAATAATACACAGTATCCAATCCAGTCTTATTTAAAGAACTCTTTAGACAACAAGGAAATGAGTATCAGCATTAGAGACTAATYTTGTGTGCAAAGGAATCAGTGAAAATTATAATTTGTGCTCTAGTTTTATCATATAAGAACTATGGAAACTCATATCACCAACAAAATATTTTCAGAAAAAAACATGGCCTTTTTTTTTGAACTGTTTCTTTATGTGACATGTAAGAATTTAATTAAAATACCGATTTTAATTCMAATCAGAAGTGAAGGACTAGGTCACTATTCAATCAGTTCAACAGACAACAAGGAAAATTTCAATTCTTTCCTAAGGTCCTAACCTTGCAAAAGTACATACACAAGCTTAATACTCTGTTCTGTGACCCTCTTATCRTCTGTTGATGAGACCAGTTAAAGTGACTTAAATGGTAATTCAGCAGGGGTTCTGGATCCTTGGTTTGTTGCATTTAAGCTATTGTCACAGTTTAAAGATTAAAATCAAAGCAAAGATTAAATTCGAGCAAAACATCCAGAAAACGACCTTTAAATAGCTTAGAGTTGGAAATTAAGTAAAAGCTGTTCAACAAGACATGACAGGATAGCTAAGAGTACCCAAGAAAGCATATAAGCACTAGAAAAACATTGAAGGAACACATGCTTGTTAGAACAAAGATCTCCAATTACCCACTTTTAAAATTTTCCTTTCCTGCCCCTCCTTATTCCACAAGAAAGGCCATAAGCTTGATCAAGAGTCAATTCTGCAAAACTTCTCCAAATTCAATTACTTTTTGGTGTTATGCCTGGACAAGTAGTCTATGAAAGAAAAAGTTCTTTTATCCTATGCTTAATGCAGACTTTCATAGATGCTACTTTTTGTCTACAAAATATTTCTTTGCCAAAACCATGCAACTRTTTGAATGCCCTAATCAAAGGCTTCCCGAACTCAGACCTTGGAAAGGAAAGGATTATCAGACCTATACCCCTTCCCTCCCCACCCTCAGTTGAAGTGCTGCTTATCTTGGRTATGTGTATAAAGGAAAAAGGCAGTCATTAGTTAAGAATTTTGAATTCTCAATAGGAGGAATACATATCAAGTGTCTCTCAAACTAAGTCAGCAAAGCTGGTAGGTTTGGATCTTTTTCCCTGCCAGATTTGAATGGTACTCAGAGAAGGTGGCTTGAATTTTATCTTAAAGAAGGAATGTGGAAAAAAAAGTTCAGAACACATCGCAAAGGTTCATTCTGAATTAGATTTGACAGGGCTCACATTGACTGTAAAGTTCACACAGACAGTACACAAAACTGTTTGAAATTTCAACAAGCATTTAATATGCTGAGTTAGAAACAGAATTCCTTCAACAAAATRTTACATGCTCATAACTTAAGAGAGCCCTGATGTTTACGTGGCAAATTTGTTCTGTATTCCTATATGTGCTTGCCGGGTAAAATGGGRTATGGGTAATCCTTCTGCACGCAGTTGATGTTTCTAGAGCATTTAGTCTGCATAGCTAAAATATACACTATTCCTGTGGCTTGATTTTATTCAAGAGACAGGGCAATAAATTTCAGCCAGAACTTAACTGCTCTAAATTGACCATCTCTAAGCTTTTTGCTGTAGAAAATAACACTCTTTTCCACTTATGTAATACTTCGCTCCCCATTTTTTTCCTTATGTATTCTTCAGAGCAAACAAAATTGTGAAACATTGGGATTTAGATGTGATTGCAGTTTTATAATAAATGCACTAAAAAAGCCCTATAAAAACTGGGTTCTACACTAACATACTAGCCAGTAACTTAACATGTGCTAAAAAAACCTGCTTTGAGTTCATCTCTAAACACATAAGTGCATGCACATACACACATTTCATATATTCCTAACCAAATGCCTGATGTTTTAGGGACCTCCTGTTTATTTGCAGCGGTGGAATGCACATAACAATAAATTCTCAACTCAGATGGATTGATCAGCTCTCCATATCTAAAAYTGCTAAGAAACAAAGAATCATTCTATTCAAAATGAAGTATTACATCTAGGTACACAGACTTGAAAATACTTAATTAACATATTCTTCCAATTGTATACCCAGGAGGCAGGGAATACTTCCTTCCTAATACCATTTCGTAGAYCATTATGTCTTAGTTAATATCATCAGCAAAGAAAACAGGTAAGATTACAAACAGTGAATCTTAATGCATTCTGAGGTAACGATTACCTTGGGATTAAAATATCKGCAGGACTGGGGCTGAGAGCCTCCAAACAAAGCAATGCGATAATCATGTTTTTTTCTTCTTGGCCGGGTACCTTCCACCAACTCTTCTCGGTCTTCTGGGGAAAGGAGGTGGTATCGCATGCCACCTGCAAGGAAGACAACAATTGTTGGCAGGTCCAGTRTAGCTCATTCATGGAAAGGGATATTTCAGAGGCAGGGATGGGGGAGACATGAAGGGAGGGAAAAGAGGAAAACTAAGTTTCTACATTACACCTATGAAGCTTTGATTCAAAATGGAAGAATGCAAACCAGTATGTGAGGGTGGGAACATACATCCAGATTTACACCCTATTTCAGACTATTTACACCCTATTTCAGACTGACCGCTCCATGTGAAAACAGGACAGATCCAGACTCATGTTACATACCCATGGATCAATCAGTTCATTTATCCAATGTTAGCAAGCAATTAAGATTGTTGCATTGAAACAGTCAAAAGGAAACAAACCCGAAAGAAAATATTCCAGAGAGTGTAAAAATGTTGGTGACATTAGAAGCCACTAAAACCAGACAAAAATCCTTATTTCCTAAACAATGCACYGAACTCCATGTCACACAAGAAGTATGACTGTGAAGTCAAATGTCAGCATATACTTACCAACACACATGTTAATTTGAATCTTGCTCATTGAGTCTGAAGGAAAGCAGTTGTGCACTGTTTTTTAAATCTACACTAAAACGAAGCCAACTAGTTTACTGCTATGGAAATTGCCTTTCTTTCTTACATGATAAAATTTTACAAATGGTGCCTAGAAACAAAAGGGAAGCTTGTTTCCCATTTCATTTGCACCCTGAGAATGCAAATGGAGGACCAATCATTGTAGGATCAATGTCAGTATATACCAGAGATAAAAAYAGTACAACATACACCTAACATTCTAATTTATTTAGAGAAGCTTTATAATATTCAAAATTTTGACATATTTCTTTCATTAATGCACATACAAACATGAATGATATTGAAGTTATGAGCCTGTCACAAAGGCAGACTAACTTTCAATTACCCTAATGAGTCATTGACAAAATCTCCATTCCATTACTTCTCATGGAGTTCATGTGATTTGCTAAGGGAAAACAAATAAAAGTCACACTGTTACATAAGCTAAGTTTTATTTACATAATAATCTGCTAATCCAACTTGAACTAAACATAGCATCTTAGAGGGAGCACAGTCAGATGGATTTAATGTGAGAATGTCAGAGCATTTTAAAGCAAACGATTTTCAATATTTCCACAGCATTTTTTCAATTATACAGAATATTATAAAGATTTCAGCTAGAGGTCAACTTACTGATCACCATTTTAAGGCATTCTGGGTTATCCTGAATAAGTGGTTCAGCCTGAACTGTTTTACTTAAGAAGTTCTTTGATATAAGAGGAAACCGGACTTTAGCAAGAATATCAACCATAAACGGCTGGCGATTTGGCTCATCATACTTCAGCCATCTGACTGCTGCATCATAAACCTTAAACAAGAGACAAAACAGAAAGGGATAAGGTACATCACCACACAGCAAGACAACTAATGGAACCTTAATGCTATAAATTAATCTTAATGCCTGCTGGAGGTCGACCTATACTAACATCTTAGAATGTGGGGATGCCATTGCCATCTTTCAAAAACCCCCTACAACAAAAACAGTCAGCCAACCCCAAAAAAAATACAATGCTCAGACAAGAAGTAAAACAAATGCACAATCACAGAATAAATCTCATCTACAAACTTAMAAAACCCACTACTTCTGCTATTTTTTTCCTTTCAAATGGAAAGCATGAATCTGCAATTCATTTACCCACATTTATGTGGGTAATTCCTGTACCAGCTTACATCTAGTACTCTTCAATTTCTATGCCATAACAACAGTAATACTTTTACAGAAATGTTGAAATAGATTCTGCTTGATAGAGTCTCCTATGCTGATAAACTGGTTATCTTACCAAATCATTGTGTTGGGTATCCAAATACATTGATATTGTTGTGTCTCAGGGGACTGTTTAAATCGAAGTTTTGATCTGCAGACTACTGTAAATTTACCAGAGAGCCTCCTCTCYTTCTCTTCCTCACAGGAAAAGATGATAGGTTTTCATAGGGGTCAGGGAGGGCAGAACAGGGAAGATAATCAAGGAATCTGCTCTATTTATCATTTTCSTCTGGGGCAGGAAGAAATGAAACAAAAATCCATCATTACATTTGTACTCTGAAACTTCCRTGCTGCTATCAGACACAGCAAGCTKATCTAGTAGCACTGATTCTGAAGGGGCAGGACAACCTAACTGTAAGCAATAGCACAGCCAGTGCCTACACCTGTAGCTGAACCTGGTCACCACGACTGGTGGTGACTGAGATGTAACATAAAGACACTTCATGGAAGAATTATTCTGAAGGGCTACTAGACCACCCCAGCTGTGATTCAGCAAAATTACCAAGGAATGTGGGAGAGCAATATTAAAGGCTCAATTCCATCAGCTGAGGAAATTCAACAGAATGACTTGAACAGGAAAATTACACAGGACACACAGTACTTAAAGCTAACTTCCCTTTTTGCTATGTGTAACTATGCTTCACACCAATTCAAAAGTTAGAGTATAATGTCAACTTTCTAGCWGTACTCCTGAGAAATAAGATTCCTGTAGTACAACTGTCAAACTTCTGTAGTTTCATACAGCACTATCAGTTTCCTAAAAGAATTTTAATGATGCCATGCTGAATACACAACCTTTCTACCACTGCTGCCARGTTAAAGCATGGCATTCTACCTTACCAACAGAATTTCAAGAATGTAAATCTTGAAGTGTCATTTTGGCTGCAAGCCAAACAACACTTCCAGCTCTGAGAATGTTATTCTGTGACCTGAACTTTTCCCAGCACTCAGCAAGAATGGTGAACTATGACAGAACTAATTTTTATACCTATAACAAGCCATATTCAATCACCTGATATTATCCCTCACTTTTACTAATTCTCATTTTCATTAGTTACATTACCATACAGTAGGACAAAGAATAAACTTTAATGCTTCAAATCAATTCTTCTGCCTGTTGGAGGTCAATGTCAGTGGAAACTTCAAAGTCAGCAAAACATCCAYTTCCAAGAGGATCTACATACCATCTGGGCTACAACATCCCTCTGTTGCACTTCAAAGGTATGAGTCAACTCATGATGCCATACCTAAACAAATTACCTAATTCAAGCACCAAAACAACAGAGCTGCAAAGGTAAGATTTCAGTTTGTTTTCAACAGCTTTGACTGAGAAGCTACACGTACCTAGCATCACAAGTACCACTCAACTGGCAAAACCAGCCTACAACCAGCTCTGTGGACTGCAGTGCAGACACTTATATGCTTCCTATTTTCCTGCAGTAGGAACAACAAACTGGCAAACCATCATTCAGGGCTGTGCTGGAAGCTGAATCAAAGCATTCCAAATGGGACAGCTGCGAATACAATTTCTACCACAGTTTATGAATTTTAATTGAGTGGAACTCCAGGCTCCATTCAGCCACCAAAACTTTTTATGTTCAGTCCCTAAGTAAGGGTATTCCATCAATCCACCACTGYCAATGCATCCAGCTTTCTGTGTTTAACTCATCTTGCTTCCAAATCCCTCAGTTCCCCGGGTTTAACTTGCGTATGTTTCCATCAGAAAASACCTCTCTGGAATGGGTCGAGGCCATACTCAGGTAGAAATGAGAATCCATTAAAGTGCAGTTTTCAGTTTCAAGTTGTCCACTTCCACCAAAAGCACACAAGCCCCAAATCTAGAAGCAACCACTATAAAACAAACTTAATTTAGYTCRTGYWCTATTGAATSRGAAGCCCTATAGCTAMCTTAACAAAGGACACTATTCGGCTTACTACCTCTGTGACTTCTTTCTTCTTGGTTTGTTGAAACAACATATATAAATCACACTTGAAATGTGARTATTTCTTAATATTTGGTTTTGACCAAGTTAGGATGCACCTTTTATTCCACAATAAGCACTATGTGCATCKCATCCTCTAGGAACATCAGAAATKAAKTCAGTTCTTGCTTAATAAAAGATARTGAAGCTCAATGCCTTTTAGCTGGGATGAAACAGGAAACTCACCTGGTCTTCTGCCCTCACTGTCAGTGTATCTTGGTTCAGGAGATGTGTCACACGCTTAACATCAAGCTGAAGAAACTCATCTGTCTTGTAAACCTCAGTGAAATGCTGATGGATGAAGTCATCGGCAGTGGCTTTCAGTTCTGGGCAGTCTAGGCATTCTGCTAGCACACTTATGCCTGTGAAGGAAAATTAAGAAAAAAACCCTTCTAAACTTGAACTACAATTACCCTTAATATATTTAAACGGAATTMAATTACTGTAATTTCAGTGATACTTGCAACCCCAGTTTAATATTTATTACCATTCCCCCAYCCCATTAAAACACATGCTATCATAACTCATCTGCAATTCAAGGCAAACTAAGACAGGGACAAGCTGCTGATYCCTATCCCTRCTKAACTAATTGGAGAGTCAGACCTGCAACACTTGCTGTATTAACTCTCTCCAGCACTATTTCCTCACTGTTTCTTTCMCAATTACAAAGCAGACAACAGTACCATAACYAAGTCTGAGCCATGCCACAATAACMAAGTCTAACCAGAACAGCTTGAGAAACTGGATCAACGTTTTATKCTCCTGACCTGTTCATGCAGCATCAGTCACCAACCAGCCCCAGTTTCCTTCAAGAGTCATGGTGAACTGGGACCTTTAAATACGTGTAGCACAGTTAGCTGCAGACCAGCACAAAGTCAAGTTGATGTTGCTGGAAGGACAGAAGGCTGGCATAGAGGTATAAACAGCAATAGCAGCTGAGAAGCACCATTGCTAACTTTGCCCTTAAAACCATGTAAGCACAGAGCTTTTTAGCAGCAACTACTTCTCATCATGCCACAGTCTTCCTCCTCTTCTTACAGAGGAAATAACAAAWGGGATAGGAGCAACTCACTAATATATGGGTTGCAATTAGTCTGAGCTGCTCAAAATAGTAAAATGCAAACTAGAAAGATAAAATCCACATGTATGACTTCTTGAAAAAATTTCAAATTCAAATTAAGCCACATTTTCTTTCAAATACATTTTTTTTAAATGAACTGTGTACTTGCCTATGAGTTTGCACAAAACATGTTTAAATTTAAAAACAGTACCTCAAGGGAAAATTGTYTTAATCTCTATCTCTTTTTGCTACAAATTAGCAATGAAGTATGCAAGTGCTAGAGATTCTAATTGATGTTTCAYCTAACAAAAGCCACAGGGCAGAAACATGCCTCAAAGCAAGTCTAAGTGGCATTTTCCTTAGTAAGTGATGCCTTTCTTCCAGCAGTTGTTTCAGAGCAGCAGCTGTACTGCACTGAAGCTTCAGTTGAGTCACTCTAATTCAGATACTTTGCCAATTTCTATTGCTACTGTGAACATCTCTAACATGACAGATGTTACTAGGAAAATTACCTAACAATGTCAGTAAGAAACACTAAAGAAAGTTTCCATTAAATTTCTGATTATACAGAGTGCACCAAATCTTAAGCTTGAAAAAGTATTTGGTTCTACTTGTTTACTTTAACACCGAGTTCATATTAGAGCTACAGAACATATGATATCAAACCTGCCCAGACAACATTCACTGTTTTCAGTCAAAATGAAAAGTGAACAAAACCAAATGTAGCCTAAACTTATTCTGTTAATACTTGTAARAGATATGCTAGTTTTATAAAACTAGTCAAATTCTGTCTGCAAGTACAGTAAAGCTCCTGTCTGAAAGCTCCACCTTATTAAACAGCATCAGTTCTCTAACAAACAAGAAGTCCCAGCATCCTGCCAAACTAGATGGGACCTTGCACCATCAGTGGACCCTGTAGCAAGGGACAACAGTTTAGACTCAAAAGAAAAAWTATTTTTATATGCCTGGATTTAGCCAAACATTACTGTCTATCTGTAGATAGACAATACTATCTATTTTTCAAATTAAAAAATAAACAGTAATTTAAGTCTATTTCYCTTACCAAGACAGTTGGAAGCATCAACTTGTTCTTTTAAAAAATCCACACACATTTTTTTCACAGGTTCAATCTGATATTGGTTTGCTGCATCTAGTAAAGACTGGACATTATTGCTGTTAACTGAGATTCTGCAAAACAGAAGGTGTAAAATTAGCATCACTGCAATAACCTAAGTTGCTGCAATAAAAAAAGCAACTTACAATGTATAAATGGCAAAAATTATTTCACAACTATTTACCCAAGAATCACCTACAGTCTAAGGACACATCCCTCATAATTTTCTCAAACTGCTTTCGTTTGCTCTTCTTTACCCAGGCAGAGCAAAGAATAACCATTCCTGGGATGTGAAGAATAAGCCTTTAACATAGGTCCTCTGCAGTCCCATACTATTGCTATGACTAGTGTAATTAACCACTTTCATAAGAAAAACCAAATATACCCCCCCTTCCAAAAAAAAACCCTGAAACAAAAAACAACCAACYAAACCCGAGAACCTCTTTTAATGACCATTTAAAACTCCCAAACAGACATCAGCAAAACCTGTCAAAACTCTGTGAGAGCTGGTCTGGCTGATTTGCCCAGGGTGCATAAGCAGAATAACCAGTTTGGCAGGGCTTCAAAAGAAGGTACTAGACAGTCTAGGGCTTGAGCATCAGGGCCATCAYATGTGGCTCGTGTGGGCTGTTGACACTGACTGTCTCTTACCACTGATGGACTATACAGAAGATTCCTCTGAAAMGAAATGAGAAAGCCTCCCTAATGAGAGTTAATTTCATTAGATGAAAGGCCTGCCATCCATAGGTCTGATTAAAGCTGATTAGGTACTGTTTACAATCCTAGTCATCTGCAAGAACTCTGTCTGGGTGTGGAAGAAAAAAAACCAACCCCACAAAACCCACCAAATACTCGGACAACCTGAGATAGCGGGTAGATGCTGTTAACAGAACAGTTATCCACCCTGCCTGTTTTGAGATGAAGATATAACTCCTGGAAATGGCTCTGTGCCACAAAGAGAGGCCCTGCTGAYATCAGTAAGGACCTGAATTTCAGAACCATGGGAAATACCATTTGACTCCAACACTGAAGTCAAAAGCTCTAAGTGCTTTGAATTGCCTTCTGGAGACAAATACTGCTCTCTTTAGTCAATAGGGCTTCCTACTGATTAAATAAAAAGAGAGAGGGATAGAAGATCTAGTCACATCAGGCTTTAAAGAAAGTAGAGAATTTTAATGGYAACAAAACTGATGAATTACAAAAGCATTATTTTAAGATTTTATCATTTACAATTGGCAGGCTTCCTAGAAAAAGTGTGAGCTTTAAATAACCAAACTACCTTGCAGTATAAGCAAACTCCACAAGCTGTTCAATTATATCAGGCTCTGCATCTTTTAGCTCCACTTCAAAGGACTTTGATTCAATCATATTTGCTGCAAATAGATTAAAAGACAAACTTTTAATCAATAAGCCGCACTAGCAATTGTACATTTTGCAAACAGTAGAAAACAAAGCAATCATACAAAGAGGGAACCTGCTAAAAACTGCTCAGCATTGATTGCWGTTTTCCCAGGATTGCTAATGCAAGTTGGGAAAGGAGGCAGTGGAACAAATAACTGGTGTGTATATGTCCTTGTATTATATAAATGATGATAAATTGTATTAAATACAAAAGCTCCTAGATGTTGTTGACTGTAGCCCAGACTGCCATGTWAGCATTACCACTGTTAAAAGCCATTTCCACATTCAAGATGATAACAATGGAGACAGCTCCAAGCTTTCCACATCCAGACACAGCACTAAGTTTGGCCACAAATGGTTACCAGTGACCACTGGAGGGAACAGTTATTTCACTTCTATTCAACTTTGATTTTATAGTAATTTTACAATTCAAGGGTAAGGAATACAAATGATAAAATACTACATAACTGAATTTTTAAAGAGAACATAAAAGAATTACAGAACTACAGAATTAGAGAAATTACATTAAGGTTGGAAARTATCACTAAGATCATCCACTCCAACCACTAAAACATGTCCCTAACCTCTGAAAGCCCAATTTATATGCAGAAGTGCCTGATGGTGGGAAACAATGTGACAGACAAATTTGGTAATGGGAGAAAAAAAATCCCACTTTTCAGGTTAAGGAAGGGAGATAATAATTTGGACCTATACACTGTATTAGAGTTTAAGAGAGCTTATATATGAAGTAACACTTGMCTTGATCAAAAGAGAGTTAAAGGGAAAACGAGAGGAGGGATGAAAAGAGAATGGAGGAAGGACACAAAGTGAGAAATCTTCACTTACAATTATGCCTCAAATTAATCACTTTCATAAGACAAGCAGATTGACAGAACAACAAATATAACAGGATATCATCATGAAAGTTTAAAATCAGTCAATTTTCAAAAGACTTACTAGTAAACATCAAGTTAAAAAAATGACTGGCTGAAGCAAGCACAACACGGTGAGCCGGGATCTTCCTTTCTTGAACCATAAGAATGACATCACACAGAGTTTTCTAAATCAGAGGGAAGAAAAAAAGAGACAAAAATCAGCATTTGGAAAATATTTCAACAACATTCCTTTAAAAACACCTTACGGAAGTTTCAGCACTTTTTGTAACTCGCACAACTCAAGAGCATTATGTGATAAAAAGATTTTCTGGAAGTCAATGTTCAGTAACCTGGAGAACTAGCAAATGTCAGTTTACACATGAATTTTTACAGGATAGTCACAAATAACATWAACTCTGTTWAAAGTATCTCCTGTAGCATTTAYATCAGATTCAAATAATGTAGGGTYTGCAGCAGGGGCTGCATTTATATTGCAYTCCATCTATCAGTGGCTCTCMTCTATTCAKCTGCTGATATTCTAAAAAATTCACAGGAACYTCCTATCTGAAGACTGCCACCCTAYTGCCCAACTGGAGTCAAAGTGATGAACAAGTTCAAAGCATTCAGTGGAACATTTTAAAGAAAATGTATCAGAAAATACCACTTTTGTGGARGGGTTTGACTRGTCATACCTGATGAGCAACTAGCTTCCAAACAAAACATAACTTATTTCTCATTTGTTTGCTGTTTATATGTTTCTCCCCTACATGTTAACTCTCATGCTCTAGAAGAAATGAAAACAACATTATATATTATAGAACTTATAAAAATTGTCAGGAGGGATTGGGGTAAAAACATGTAATTTGATTAGATTCTGAAACGCTATCTTTAAATGATATTGAACTGAATTAAATGCACATTTTACTATAGTTAATTATAACATATTCTCTATTAATAATGAAAAACTGAGCAGCACTGCTTCCTCAAAAAAYAAGAAATAATCTTTGACTACTATCTTAAGTTCATGGAACTGTTTTCAAAAATACCTATATACAGCCATCCCAAGGCCAGCCCCAGAAAAGAACATTTCTACCGTGGGAAATAYATACTTGCTTAGAAGTGTGACAGTGTTTTCCACATGGAGACAATATTATCTAAATGCAAGYTAGATGGTGGCAACACAGCTTCCTTTATAGTTTTAAACCATTTAGGATTGAAACAACATCAAAAAGAGACAATTCTGGAAAAGTTTCAGAGGAAATCCTTTAAAGCTGAAATTTCTAACACTTCCAGTTTAAAAGAAGTATTGGAAACTAGCAGTACAAGATACCATAAAATCTTACAGCCAAACTTTGCCAAGACTTGCAGCTGTTGCTTGAGCTCCACACTGCATTTCTGAGATAAATTTAATACCTCAGCTCACCATTTGAAACACCTCAGATGTTCTAAGACCCCTTTGGGTGCACTTGCCAAACAAAACAGACCATCATTTTAACTTTTTTCCCTGAGATGTTCCTAGATGTGATAGCTCCATTTCAACTAATGCTCTTCTGAGGATTTCTGTACTTCTTTCCAGAAGGACCCACTGTTGYCACTTGGTCACCTCCATGATGCAACAGGGAACTGGTGCTAACCAGTGTCTCAAACGACACACCAAGCACGAGCTTCTGCAGGGCACTTCCCCTTCCAAATAACAGGTTCAGCAACACCTTGCAGCTCTACCCCAGCTTCATTCCCAATGACTTCATTCTTGGCTGACCTCCACTGAGCTGCAATGTTTCAAAAGGATTTATGCACACACTGTCCAATAGCTCYGGAAAACTCACAAGGATGTGAGTTTTCCATCAATGGACCCACTGGGTGGAGATGAACAAGTCCTCCATACACTAAACATACTTGGCCCCAACATTTTACCTGTACTGACTGAGTGCAAGTATGTCCATAGCTAAAACGCCCATAGTCGCGGAGGACTCCTCTTGATTTCAGCTCACACAAAAAGCAGCCTTCTTAAAAATAGCTGTATTTTCCCACTGGCCTCWCTTCCTACAGGATTAAACTAAAGAGCTAAGTATCTAGAGCTACACACCTTGACATTTCCATCACAGGAAATTTTAACTTATAATTAGGTTTTATAACTACAGCGTCATTCTTGATTTATCAAAATACAAAAGGAAAGAGCTGGCTACAAATCCTCTTACAACTTTAGCACAACTAAAGTGCCAAAACTAGGGTATTTCCCTCTGGCTGTTGGTGACTTCCAAATTTTATCCCATATAATCACACCTCCCTCTACTCCATCAGTAATACCTCCTCTTACAAGCAACTCCTAAAAGAGGCATGAGTTTCATGAAATATGCAAACATTTCTGGACCAGTTAGCAGTGGGTGGGATATTTAAAGCTACCATCTGAGGTCAGATGAGAAGTTTCCAGGCAGAACTCAGAGCTGCACCTCCCCGGGCATAACAGGTGCTGGAATTTGTATTAGAAATACACAKAGATTTCACAGCATTTGATCCTTTCCGTGTTTGGAGTAGCTCACAGCTACATGACAGCTGGCACTCCATTATACTGAAAGATGAGGTCCTTACACAGAACAGGGTGGTACCATACACTGCAACAGGGACATGGTAAAGCACTTTGAATTCCCTGTGCTGGGSATTGCACACATATCTATGGGAGGGCAATATTTCCTTTATCTACTTACAAATCATAACAGCATCTGGCATCCCCTTTTAAACAATGATGGAAGTATGAGCTAAACACGGAGGAACCAAGTTATGAACTCAGCCACATCTTGGAATATGTTTAAACTTCTAGATCAGAACAAAGTCTACATAAAAACACAGATTACAGGCTTTAAGACTTAACTCTGTTACCTGAAGTCAGTGGAAACAATTTAGTTTTTCATTCATAAGAGCTTAGTTCCATGAAATGRTTTATGCAGACAACGTAATTGACTGTGTATTAGTGAGAGAAGCACAGGGCTGAAGTGCTAGAGAAAAGCAGAACCAACACCAAAGTTTGTGAAGTCAGGACCCAGTTGTTGGTAAAGACGACACTAAAAGCTGGACTGAGTCTCTGGCAAGCCTAACACTAGAGGACAGGAAACTAAATCCTAGAAAATACAACACATGACAGCGCCAAGTATGAAGCCCCTGAATAGTCTGGCTACAGAGTCAGTTTTAACTCTGGCTCCRCATCACTGTTTTTAAACAAACCAAAGTTCCACAATCAATCTAGTTCCTTCTCTGAGAAGAGAGATTTTTTTCATATGCAAGGAGTTACATGTATCGTCCTTCTGCTCTTGTACCAGGAATCTAATGGATCTTATTAAAAAAAAAAAAAAATAAAAACGAGTATTCATTTCAGTTTGGACAACTCAACTGAAATGCACTTGTATTTTGGTTACCACTCTTGCTCTTTTGGCAAACAGAGAAGTCATCTTTAATACTCATTAGACTATTGACTGTGGAAGCTGATCAGCCCAAAAAGTTCACAATTTGAGGCCAGATGAAGCCACCGAATTCCTACACTGCCACTGGTCTTCTAGTGCAATGGTCAAAAAGTATTCAAAAAGAAATGCTACCTGTGAAACCAAACCATGGTCCCACTTATCCCTCTCTTCCCACTGCAGTTTCACTATCCACAGGGTACACAGTCAAYTTGTTCAAAGAAGAGTTTCTGGTAAAAAAAATCCAGCATCAGCGCCTTTCCACTGCCCTTAGGCTTCGGTTCGAAAAGGGCTCTGTGAATGCTAAGTGGAGACACTGGGTTATCCGACACAGCCGCACTCCTGCCCCACCACCCACAAGGCGTTATCAGATAAGGAAAAACAGATCCACGGCGTCTTCTACCCCCAGCACCCACAMGGAGCCGGCGCATGTGAAATCGGAACTCGCCAGTGTTGCTGTGCGGCTCCGGAGCCCCTGAGGCACCGGCGGTGCCGGGTCCGGTGGGTTTTTCCCCGCAGCTCGGCCCAAGGGACGGGAAACCCACGGGACCATCAGCGCGGGAGCGGGACCCGCCCTCGGGGCAGCACGGACACCGGCCAGCGCCTCCCGTACCTGCTTGCGCATGGCGTTCATGACGCCCATGAAGGAGGCGAGCAGCTTCGCCTCCTCGCGGGCGGCGAGCTTCTTCTCCGTCTTCTTCTTGCTGCTCTTCTCCGACCCGGGCGCGGCCATGCTCGCCCGCGCTCACCGCCGGCGCGCCGATCCCGACCGGGAACATGCGCCCGCCGGCTGCCGGCCGGCCMACAGCGTCTGCCGGCGCTCGGCACCGGGCGGCAGGGCGGGGACTCGGGCACCGGCGGGTATCGGGCGGGACCCGGAGCGCCGCTGTCGCCGCGGCGGCCGCGATCTGAGGGCGGTGCCTGGCGCGCTGACGCCATCGGCCGGCGCGCGGCCCCACGCGGGGTAAACAAAGAGCGGGGAGGGGCTCGCGCGCGTCACGTGGCGGGCGGAGAGCGGCGCGTGCGCGGCCGCCGGGGCGGCG